ATGGGCTCTCTTTTCTGTTCTGTTGATCTGGTTGCTTGTGCCTCTGTCATTACCACACTGTCCCAGTTATTGTAGCTTTATGACATGACTTTTGATGTCTGGTGGGGCAGACCTCCTACATTTTTCTTTTTCAGGAGTGACTATTATTCTTGGCTCTTTGTTCTTTGATATAGAATTTAGAGCCTGTTGGGCAAAGTCTTTAAGAACGTAGGATTTTTATAGACATTACATTGAATATGTAGATTCCTCTGCTGGGAATTAATAGCTTTACAATATTGAATCTCTCCATTTACTTAGCCTTCTTTAATATCTTTCAGTAAATATATATCAATTCTTCATTAAAAGACTTGCATAGCTTTTGTTAAATTTGACAAATCATTTTATAGCGTTTTCATTACAGAAATGTTTCATAATTGCCCTTTCTGTTTTTTTTTTCTCCTTTAAATATAACAGTTTCCTATTTATCCAGCAGCCTCACTAAACTCCCCTATTAATGTTGGAACTTTATAGGTATTTCTTGATTTTCTGTAAGTGACAACAGTTTTATTTCTTCCTTTCTAGTCCTTATAGTAGTTTAACTTTCATAGGCTATGACTTCTAGCCCATGGTTAAAGTAAAATAGTTTTGGCTTATATCCTTGTGTTTTTCTAATCTTCAAGTGTTTTGAAGTTTCACCCTTAAATGAAATCTTTTTTGTAGATTTTTGTTCTTGATATCTGTTTTTCCCCACCTTCCCACTTGGACTCACATTCCATTCTGAGGAGAAGAAATGGACAGGAAAATAATTTCATTTCCAGAGCCTATCACTGTGCTTGGTACAGTATAGTTGTCAGTTTGTTGCATGAATGAATGAACGCAGGAAGACTTGAGCCTTATGGTTGTCGGCTCTGGTACAGCAGTTCAAAAATCCTTATTTAATCTTTATTAGAGAAAGAATGAAAGTCATTAATACTTGTATTACTTTTTTAATGTTTCAGGAGAGGAAATTAGCACACTGGATTTTAGGATTTGAATACAAATATTTTGGAGACCATATTTTCTGTTTCTCATGACTGTAGTGCTTGAAATACTGTAAATTAAGTATTTAAACTATATGTGGGCAAATTTTAGGGAAAATCTTTTGAAGATTTGTTTAAGGACTTTGTTTTTACCTATTCATACTTTTATGAACATCATTATGATCTACATTAGATTTGCAAATTTAGTACTGTAATGGTGCTGTGAAGTTTCTCATTAAAGCCTGAGCAGTTCATGATACTAATAACCAACAAATCAGGTTTGTGAAATCTCCTTTATAATTCAGATTAGACCCCTTCTGCTTTTCTGCCTCTCCGTGTACCTGGTATTTTTTTTTTTTAACAGATGGGGAAATTAAGGCATAAAGGTAGAGAGTCCCTGAATTTGGTGTATTGCTTACTGCAGTAGACCACTTTGCTTCTGTGAGAATTGTAAACTACTATACTTTCCAGGTATGTGCTAAAATTGCCATTGCCAAAAATCTGCAAGTCTTGCTAATAAAGAAACTCTTACTCAGCCATTTTGTGTGTTTAGCTATATTTAGGACAGTGACCCGCTGGCTAAAGTTCTACTTCTGAATTTGTAGAGAAGAGAGGTCTGGTAATTTTGCTAGAGGATTATTTCGTTACAAAAGGAGCTATCCATTTTTTCATTCCTCCTTTTTTTACTCCTAATACTTCCTGCCCACTCAGTGTTGGCCCCTGGGCAAGTTCTGTATCATTGCTTCTCAGCTGGGGGTGATTTTCCCCACAAAGAGACATTTGGCAATATTTGGAGACATTTTTGTTTATCACAACCAGGGGCAAGTGCTGCGGGCATTTAGCATGGCGGTCAGGGATAGCGCTAACCATCCTGCCATGAGCGAGATGGTCCCCCACGGTCAGGAATGAAGTGGCCCCAAATGTCAACAGTGTTGAGGTTAAAAAACCCTGTTTTAGACAATGGTGTTTATTTTTGGTTTTGAAATGGAAAGAAAACTTGAATGCTAAATTTTCTTTTTAAAAGACAAGTATTGGTGTTTTAGAGTGGACTTTAGAGCTGTACAGACAAGGAGTTCAAGTCTTGTCTCAGTTCTCATTGGCTGTAAGTACCTACATTCAGCTGTGTGTGGGAGAGAAAACATATAACCGATTGTAGAGTACTGTGTAAATATTATTTGTATCCTCCTTTCCCGCCTGAACTCCATATACCAATGTGAGACCGTAGATTTTTACACTTTTTGGTTTTCAGTTTTTTCATCTCTAAAATGAGGATAAATATTTATATCTTAGGTTTTAGGAGGAGATTTCATGAGAAAATGCAAATAAAGCACATGCCCCTATGACTGGAATGTATTAAGTACTTAGTAAATATTTGCTTTTATTTGTTATTTATAATAACTTAACCTTCAGATTGTAATCATTTGTAATTGCTCTCAGAAGTGGTGTCTATAAGTAGGCAATACTGTCCCATCAGCTGACAAATGAGTTGACAAAATGTGTTCTATCCATACAGTGAAGGATTATTTGGCCATAAAAAATATGAAGTACTCATAGTTGCTACAACACAGATTAACCTTGAAAACTTGAGGCTAAGTGAAGGAAGCCAGTCACAAAGAACATACATATTATGATTCCATTTCTATGAAACATGCAAAATAGGCAAATATATAAAGACCGAAAACAGATTTCTGGCTACTTAAGGCTGGGGGTGGATGGGAAGGGAAGGGGGGTAATAGCTAAAGGGGTTTGTTATTGAGGTGATAAAAATGTTCTAAAATGAACTATCGTAATGGTTGCATGACTTTATGAATATATTAAAAACTATTGATTTGCCAGTTTAAATGGATAAATTGGGTGATATGTGAATCATATACCAATAAAGTTGATGTATATAAACTAGGAAAAGTGAGGGTCCCTATCCTTTCTCTGGGGTTGAATATTGTATTCTTTAATCTTTGCCTTACTCTCCGTCTTCTGATTTCCGGGAATCTGACTTAGGGAATGCGTTCTGGAGAACGGGGGAGAGAACGGTGATGTTGCTGGTTAGTACTCACCACTCATTCATTGTGGTGATAGCTGTCTCTACATACACACTGAAGATTTTGCCAAATTAGAAAAAGATTTTTCATTCTGTCCCATGTGTCCTGTATGAGTTAACAGCAAACAGCCAAGAAACTTGAGCATGGTTCACCTCTCTCACACATGGACATTTGCATGCAGAATTGCTATGAGATTTGTAACTGAGTTCCAGTATATTTTATTTGTATAAGTGGATAGCAAGTTAGAAAGCTGATTTTCTTTACTGAGTATGAGTTAACTAACTGGAGTTAGTGGCCTAGAATTGGAAACCCATTAAGTAAACAGGGACATGATAGTTATGAGACCATTAATACTAAAAGTCACTAGAATAGCTATATGATAAATACTTATAAATGGAAGGCATACTTGTAAGCAAATTCTATTTTGCCTGTATTTTTTGATCGCAGCTGTCAGATTACCTCATTGAAATAGGCTTATGGGAATTTATGGCACACACTACTGAAAAGTCTGTGTGTGAGGGATGTCTTCGAATTGGGAAGATGCAGTGTCAGTCATTTCACGATCCGGCTTCCTTTACCAGGCTGGTCTCCATTTTTTCCAGTGAACTTCTTAGACTGCACCCCCCATACTGTTGTAAAATGGCTGCAGCAGCGCCAGGCCTTAAATCTCTCAGCATTAAGACTTCTCAGCAGTAAGACTAGCATTAAGACTAGCAGATGTAGAGAAATAACCTCTCTTAATAGTAGCACACTCCTGGCCTGATTCATACTAGCCTGAGTTAGGTCTTGTGCCTGTTCTAGGACTAAGTTCTATGACCAAGAGGATGGAATATGCTGATTGGCTTTGGCCAGTAGCGCTCACCTCTAGACCTGAGTGTATGGTCAACGTTACCCAAAACCATATGCAAGTTTGGGATGAGGTGGCTCAACAGAAGAATTTTGGGTTGCTTTTTGGTGGTCTTGTTAACCAGATGATTGAACTAGATGCTGGATGGCAAGATACTTTATATCTGCTATAATTCTAGCATGTATACTGGAACGTTTATCCTTGATAACAGTAACTTAAAAGTTTATCACGTATTTCCTCTGTATGTACCAGGTAGAATGAGTAAAAATCTTTGGGTAAAAAAATGGGATTTTGGTAACTTACAGGACTGCGTTATTTTAAAAGTTATGTTCCTGAGGAATTTTATTATAACTTTCTAAGTTTTTTGAAATTTGGTGTGATCTTTTCCCCTAATTTTAGATCCTCTTATCTTTAAGAACTCTGTGTAGACTTTAAGTACCCAACATATTGTTTGAGCTTAGTACTTCTCTCTTATCTTTCTAATACCTGTTTTACTACATCATTTTATTTTTTTTAAACTTAAGCCTTCTAACTCAATACAAATCTGAAATCTTAGCTTTCTCCTTCTATAAAACAAGTTAGTATCCCTAATTAAATGCTGTTAACATAAAAAATACAGACAGCGTTAGCTTGACAAGGTGGACTGTTGCATGTTCCTCATAGTGTCATGTTGCTCAGCCAGACTGTGCTTCTGGAGAGAGGCGGTGTGAGATCTGATTGCCTTCTCTGTTTGCCTCGGCCAGTCGCTCTGTGCTCTTGGGAAACAAAAGGCAAATCAGGTCTTTGCTAGAATGGCTTTATGGCACATGTCATAAAATAGGTGCTGTATTTAGCATCTATAATTGTAATTAAGGTGAGTTACTAATGTCAGATTAGGTGTAGACCGTTTGGGAGAGAGTTTTAAATATTTTCAAGTAGTGATGTGGTTATAAAATAGTTCAGATTATAAGACTTACAAATGAAGAATGATCTTTTTTTAAATTCCTGTTTGCTCTGTTAGAAATTAGAGCCTTTCAGTTTTATAGAAAAAGGTATAATAACTTAAAAAATAATAAACAAACCATTGATGGCAGAATAATGACAATTACTCTCTCTTTTTCTCATTTTTTCGCACAGTGATCCTGGTGGAGGGATTGAAATGTCTGAGTTCATTCGAGAGGCCACACCTCCAGTTGGTTGCAGTTCAAGAAATTCTTACGCTGGCCTAGATCCAAGCAACCAGGTAGGAGCCTGTGATTTTATTTTGTATTTTTCCCTTCTCCTGATGGTGGTCTTAAGTAATTCTATATGTAATAGTCAGTTGGGTTTGGGTATATCGTGCTGATTTCAAGTTTTTAATTATCTTTAATTAAGTTTTTGAGTTGATTTTAAGTTTTTAATTGTTTATTAATAATATCATTGGTATTATTTTTAACTAAATTTTCACTTTCATTAAGTACATTTTTGCTGAGCATGCGCCTCGTGCTCATTGCCTAGGGTAGTTTTGACCATGACAGTTGTGGTGAATGCCTTTAGGAAAATTAGACCCTCGCTTGCACTCTTATTGACCTTCACATTTTTGGTATTGGAGGGAGATAGGTGTCTGGGGTTATTCCTAGCTTAAACATGGCAAAAAAAAAAAAAAAAAAAAAAAAGTAATTTCTTCAAAATCTACACTTATTGTGGTGGGCACCAAGTAATGTATAGAATTGTTGAGGCAATGTGTTGTACACCTGAAACTAATTTAATGTGTTAATTATACTTAATGTTCTCAGAATTGCTGCTTAAGGTGTTGGTGTTAGAGCTAGATGTAGAATACAGATCTGCTTTTGCCAATTTTAATGTCTTTCAGTTCTGTAACGTTTAACTTAAAATAGTAACTCTGAAAATCTGCTCTCACAACTTGGCTGATGCCAGCTGTGCTGTCATTCTAACCCCAGCTGGGCCTTCACGGCTGCATTTCTGTCCCCCGTCCTGAACATCTCCCACAAGAGTCCAAGTCCCGCTAACGCCCGTTTGCCTTCTCAGCAGATGAGCCTGGTAGGTAGCTGGAGTGACGCTGGAGAAGCTCAAGGGACGAGACCTAGCGAGCACCTTAGAGGTCCTGTCATAGTCCAGCGTTAGCTAACCACGGCATGTGGTGGGTTCTTCCGTCAGCCCTTTCAGTACGTAGATTTTTATCAGGGTCTGGACCTCACTTCTTGATGTTCAGTGCAGTCTCTCTACTGTTCCACACTGCTTGTGGGTTGAGATCTCTCTTCCTCCTAACTCTAACTTTTGTTAAAACCATCCCGTTTCTCAGATTTTCAGAGGCCTTGTGCTGTTGCCTCTTTCTCCTGCAGAGGGCGCACTTATTAGCACTTCGCGCTTTGGTGTGTGATCATGTGTGGCAGCCTGTAATCCCCCACAGCGTCGGTTCTCCTTCTTCCTCCTTGATCCAATAGACCGCCTTGTGCATAGTTGACTTTCAGTGAACAGGTGCTAATTATCTTTATCTATACAGATAATAGAACTTTAGAGATAGAAGCTGACCTGGCTCTTCGTTTAACAAATAATGAGGTAGCGGACTTAGTTATCCCGACTGTTTCACAGTATTACTGTTCCACCTAGTTTAGCCCTACACTGCTTTGGAAAAATATTGGGGAAAACATCATATTCTGTGAATCAAAATCTTGACTAGGGTTTTGTTTCCTAATATATTTTGATAGATTTGCCTCTGTTTGAATTGTGTTTCATGATTTAAACTTAAAGTGCATGAATTTTTGGTCCCAGTTTTAGTTTTGATTAAGTGTGGTGTAGAACAGCTATGTCCTTAAATTTGTCTTCTTTCTGTAACAAGCCAATGGGAAATGTTAGAGTTAAAAAACAACAACAATGGTGGGATGCCTGGGTGGTGGGTCCATTGGTTAAGTGTCAGACTCTTGATTTCAGCTCAGTTCATGATCTCAGGGTTGTGAGATGGAGCCCTGAGCTCAGGATTCTCTCTCTCCCGCTTCCTGTGCCCCACCCCCCTGCCCAAGTGTATTTTCTCTCTCTCTCTCTCTCTCTCTCTCTCAGAAAGTAAGTAAAATAAAAAAGAAACATTATTTCAAAGGGCTGTGACATTTTAATTACATCCATACCTTTTAAGTTTCAATTTTTACAATATCAGTTTGAAGAGAAGTATTACTATCCTTGATCCTCTTTTGGTTGGCTTTGGTTTCCCAGTCTCTTTATGAAATGAAATGGCTTAATCTTTAAATATGGCTGTGTGTTTTGTATGCTTAATTAACGCTGGCCTTTGTCCATACTGACAGATGTTGGCAATGTCCAATTACCGAGGGAGTTAAGTGTATGTTTTTCCCACAGTCTTTTGGAGAGCCAAACTTTTTTTTTTCCTTTTTTCCAGTAGGACAGTTGAAAGGGTGCAACAGTAGCCAGCCATCTTCAGTAGCTCTATCATGGCATCATGTCTATTGGAACTTCCCCTACTTTTTTAGGGAGGGACTCCCATCCTGAGTGTCATTAAAGCTTGTCCGGACATAAATATGCAACATACCCAATTTGATTTTTCTTAAAATATTAACTCTTGAATAAAAATGGGCAAATATTGGAAGTTACTGTGTTACTTGGATTTTGGCGTTTTAGTTTTATCCCATTTATTACCAGTAGACATACTGTGCTTCTTGTCCATGTTTTATTATATGACACTAAACATTATCATAGTTGTTTATGTAATGTCTTCTCTACTGGGTAGTGAACTTGAGTATGGTGGCTGTGTCTTAGCCATTATCATTCTTTCCTTCTTGACGCCTTCGCCCTTCTGTCTTCCATCTTCTATTCTATTTCCTTTCCCTTTCTTTTTTCTTGTTTTTTATTACCCTGTACCTCCCTTTCCTTCTGTCACTTGTCTTCCCTCATATATTTTAGTGCCCAATAGCTTTCAAGTCAGCTTATTTGAATGGAGTGGGGAATGGGTCTTACCATCACAGAGTTTACAGTGCCAGGGTAGATGTGTTGTAAGTAACCAAAGTTATAAATACGATGTATGTTACCAAGGAAATGTAAGTCTAAGATACAAAGTAGTAATTGTCATAGGAATGGTACAGAAAAGGGGCTAATGATTTTAGAGGAGAGAATAATTGTTTCCAGCTAGAAGGAGGGGCAAAGATTTGCCAGATTGTTATGTAGTTGGAAGAATTTTTCTTCTCTGACACCCATAATGCTTCCTGACCTTTCCTGTGGCACTTACCAAAGAGAAGAAACAACTGAACCATTCTGGTTGGTGCAGAACACCTTTTTTTCTGTAAAATTTTCCTTTTCTAAACGTGCTCATTTTTAGAAAAATAGCTACTGAGGGAAAGCAAACAGAAGAAAATAAAATCATCCCTAATGTCATAATCAAAAACCATTTTTTTAAAAAAAGTTGGGATTATAGTGTTCATGCTGTTTGGAACTTGATTTTCTTTGTTGAATATATCATGAATGTTAATGACATTCAGTGTTTTTCTACAGTGACATTTTGGGGGAATGCATTCCCCTATTTGGATGGACTGTATTCTGAGTCCTCTGTTTTAGACATAAATAGTCCTGACTCTTTTATATTTGGTGGGGATAAATTTAAATAATACGGAAAAGCATGAAGATTAAAATATAACCACCATTGTATCCATTAAGAATGCTTTGTCAGCAAGTAATAGAACTCAACTAATTAAGTGACTCAGAGAAATGAGAGTCTGTGTTTGTCCTCCAAGACTGAAGGCGGCTGTGGGCCATTTGTTTAGCCATTCAGTCATGTTAGGTCTTGGGTTGGCTTTTCCCTCCAGATTGTGGGATGAGCACTGCAGTGTCAGTCATGACCCTGTCGAAAGGTAAGAAGCAGGCATCAGTGTGGGCAGAGTTGGCTTGCTTGTCGTCTTCTCAGGCATGCAGAGATCTTTCCCTGAAGCCCGCCAGCAGGCTCTCGCACACGTTCACCGACCAAAACCAGGGCCCACTTTTTGTAGATCAAAAGATACACACCCAACATCTGAACAAAGTAGGAAGCTTGTTAAGGAAAGAAAAGGGAACACTGTGGTTGTAGGCAAATGACTAGTATACCAGTATTCAAAAGTTGTTTTTTAGGTTTAAATTTCTAGAAGGGTGTGCTTATAAAATGTGTTTTTTGTTTGCTTACTTGCTTTTTTTTTTTTTTTTTTTTTGTCTAGGAAGCTATATGTATTATACTAGTGAAAAATAGCGTATATTAATTCTATAACTTACCTACCAGGTGTGATAAGCATGAAATTTTATTTTGCAGTAAAATGCTTTTTGGCTTGTTTCTGTTTAGTTGCAGTGCGTTTTATGGCTAATTGAAAGCAGAACTTAGGAAAAAATCAGGAGCGTCAGCTTAGTAAAGTGATCAAATGTTGCAAAACTCATTTTTTTTTTTATTGGCCACATCAAAAGGTGCTAGTTCTAACCTGTTTGTATATGTTTGTTTTTACTGACTTTTTCAGTGTCCTAAAACTATCATATAGCGTAGTATACACTTAAGTGTACAGCACAGTGGGTTTTTATATACGTATATACCTTTTAATTGCCATCCAGATCAAGAAAGACTGTCATGTCCCTTCAAACTCAATATTAACTTATATTTTGAGCAAGTTTCTTATTGTATACTTCTATCAGTTGAATCAAAGAAAGAAAAGATTTGGGGACTGCCTGGCTGACTCAGATAGGAGAGCATGTATAACTCTTGATCTTAGGATTGTGAGTTTGAGCCCCAGTTGGATGTAGAGATTACTTAAAAAATGAAATCTTAAAAAAAAAAAACCAACAAATAAAGGATTTGGTAAAATACAAAGTATTATATGAATATTAATTTTATTCTAAAATATTAAATTTGCTTGACTGTGTTCTTCTTAAATCCCTTGAAAACAGGTTATAGAAATTTACTAAGACTTGTGGATTTAGTAACTGTCATGTTCTTATGTTTGATTTCCTTAATGTGTTTGTGGAATTTGTGGTATTTGTTTATATGATTTTTATGGTGGTATAATGAATGAAGGCTAAGATTTTAGGGAGGTGTTATATCATCTGAATATAAGCATTAAAAGCTCAGTAGGTTTTAGTTGTCTGTTTATAGTTCGTGCTAAACAGTCATTTTACTTGGATCCTTCAGTGTTTTATTCTTTTTAAATATGTTATAGTGGTCAACAAAGAAGTACTTACTTTTGTCTAGAACTCAGGAAAGTACGTATTGATACGGTAACAATTGACAGTAAGATTTAGGTTGCTGTTTGTAACATATGTTAATGTTTTGTCCCAAAGCTTCCTTTTACATGCCCTGATAAGTCTAAATTTGTTTCAGATAGACTTAACACCGGGTTTTGCTTTTATTTCTAATATGAGCATGTCATGATATAATAAAAAAAAAGTTAGTAATTGTATGTCATGGACTGCTGGGTGTGGGAGGAGGCATCCCGCTCTGTGGGCCCTGTCAGTCCTGAGCAAGCAAAGGGACTCCGTGCCCTAGCACATCTACAGCAGACGTGTAGAATGTGCTGCAGTAAACAGGTTAAGTGGCTCTGAGGCAGCATGTGCAGCGGGTATCTTTCTATATAAGTGACTGATAGTGAGTTTTGATAATATGATTGTTTAGCCTGATGATCTTGCTAGGCCGTATTGATAATGACATAGCATTTTAATTAGTTTTCCTTAATATCGTATTTTCAGATTGGATCTGGTTCCTCTCGTCTTGGAACAGCAGCAACTATTAAAGGTAGACATTATCTAAGTTGAAAGTTGCCTATGACATTCCATTGCATTTTTGACGTAATAAAGAAAACTGAATACTATATATTCACATGTCATGAAAGCTCATTCTTGAAATTAATTTGTAGATGCAGTTATGTATCTTATGTTAAAGGTTACTTGATTTATATTGGATTCTCCTTTCACCATCCAAATCTCACAGACATCTTTGAATATTTGCATCACATTGTGTGAATTATAGGTTGTGATATATAAGAAACTTTCTGTCTTGAAGGATAATACTTTTCATGGGTTTTGGTGAGATATGTGGAAAACCGAGTAATTTAATGTGAAACCTTTAAATTGGGTACAAATAAGACAGTAAAAAAGAGGGAAAATGTTTTCTGTACATCTCACATGTACCTTTTACTTGCATCTATTTCAGATAAATTTTTTTACCCTGTACTTTTTTAGGGGCATTTTTATAATTTTCCTGGGGAAGGAAATGTATAGTGTTTTGTTATTACATAATTTCCATTTCTTTTAAGAAAGTGCTTCTTTTTAAATTAAAAAAAAAATTTTTTTTTTAAAGATTTTTATTTATTGATTTGACAGACAGAGATCACAAGTAGAGAGGCAGGCAGAGAGAGAGAGGGAAGCAGGCTCCCTGCTGAGCAGAGAGCCCGATGCGGGACTCGATCCCAGGACCCTGAGATCATGACCTGAGCCGAAGGCAGCGGCTTAACCCACTGAGCCACCCAGGCGCCCCGAAAGTGCTTCTTTTTAAAGAAAGCTTTTTAGCTAACCATATGGAGCTTTTTGTATTATTTGGTTTATAGTGCTGTGAGAATAAAGATGTGGTCTCATAGTCCATGATGCTTCCCATTAGTTCAGTGCGTCCTCCATTATCGCAACCCATGGTATGCAAAATCTGCTCTCATAGACATCGTATGCTAGTATAGTATATAGTAAACTAGTGTAGTTGATATCCTTCCTTGTTATGCCACCCTGTACAGACTTTACTTTTAAAATAATGTGTTCACATGTTTCTCTTAACTTCGTAGGAGATACAGACACCGCTAAGACGTCTGATGATATCAGTTTAAGTCTGGGCCAGAGCTCTAGTCTTTGTAAGGAAGGAAGTGAAGAACAAGGTAAGAACATTATACTTCACACTGATGTTATATATTGTGGTGGCCACGGTGAGTTGTAGAATATGCTGTTTGATTTTGGCAGAAGTTTATAATAATTTAATATGATATCTTTAAGCAACATTAAAATAAAGTTATTAACTAGGATAATAGTAAAACAGTGTTATAAGTACTTTTAGCTTTCTGGAATTCAGTTACACATGTTCTGCCAAGTCGACATGGAGAGAAAAATTTTATGAGCCTGTGCCCTGGAGTGAGTATGAGATGGGAGATAATCTGCTAGTTTGTAGTGGGTCAGAGCATCTTGCCTAGTTTAGTAACCTAGTATGTAAGACTGTTACTTTCCATCCAGTATGACCTCTAAATGTTAGTTGCTCTATATCTTACCCGACAGTATGTTTTAGTAGAGAACTAACTTGTTGGACTTACAGAGAAACTGTGTCTGCCTCTGACATGGTGCCTCCTGTAGCAGATTTTTAATGGAAATTTGGGCTTTAAGTGTTTTTCCTTCTCTCCTTATTCAGTTCCTTATAAATGAGTATTTTGGATTTAATGGAGTTGTTTTTGTTTTTTTTTTAAGAATGTCACATTTTTATGTTTCATTTTTGATTTTCAGACATGAAAGGATGGATATGTTATTCCATTTTCAAATGGAGATTATCCCAAGTTACATAATCAGTGAGACAGAAACCTGTTTCCCTGTTTCTAACCTGCTGTTTTTATTGGCCTATGTGTGATTTTTTGGAAGGCAGGCAGACTGATAAGTTTCATAATTAAGTACAGGAAATTTATTTATAGTTAGAAATAGCTTTCTAAATTATGACATTTTCCTATTTAATATTTTACAAGCAATTCTTAACAACCAATTCTTACAAGCATGTTTTGTTCCAGGTACTAGGAATGTAAGTTTATCATGCTATAACTGCTTTTTGGAATTGCAGTACCCCATCATTTATTTTCTTTTATGGACTACTCTTGCCAACATACCCTTCCCCTGTAAAAAACTTCCAAACACACTATATAATATAGAAACTATTTTCTTATAAAAGGTTAAGGTGAATTGATAAGTTTGAGAATTACAGTATTGTTTTCTGTGATATATAATCATTAGAATGTCTCAAAAATTAGGTAATGATCTTGGGCTAGTGCCACTGCATTTAGGGTCCTATTTATTTTGTATCTGGAAAGTACCACGCATAAGCAAGAGTCTTGTAGTCTTTTGTGTTGGGAATTATATGCACACAAGCCTCTCCTGCAGAGTAATATTGAGGTAGACAGTGATGTCTGACACTTACCAAGCACACGCTATTATTTAGGCCAGGGGTCAGCAAACTTCTTCGTAAGTGGTCAGATAGCTTTGTAGGCCATATGGTCTCTTTTGCAACTACTCCACTGCCATTGTAGCACGCACAAGGAGCCATAAACAGCACGTAAATGAGTGCGCATGGTTGTGTTATACTAAAGCCTTTTTCAGAAGCAGGCAGAGAGCCAAGTTGGCTTAATGGCTCTTAGTTTGTCACCTGGTGGTTTGGGTCTTCTTTTAAGCATTTTATAAGCATACACACAACCTTCACTATAAGCATTTGAGGTTAATAATATGATTTTCACATTACAGATGAACATATCATGGCTTAGAGGTTGTAAGAAACTTGCCCAAAGTCAGACAGGTACAAAATGGCAGTCCTATCATTGAAGTCTAGTTTTGAATCATGCTTTCAATTTCTGTTACACCGCTTTTAGATAGTTTTGTAACTTCTATCATTTTAATATGATAACATTAAACATTCAGCAGATAACACACAAAGATAACATTTAAAAGATACTATTTAGTACTCATTATGTGCTCAGAGCACCCCATTCTAAGTACTGGAAATAAATCAGTGAACAGACAAAAAATTCTAACGTTATGTGGCTTCTATACTACTAGTATGGAATCATGCTAGTATAAGTCAGATCTGTATGCGGTCGTAGGGACAGAGGCTAGGGAATGGTGGGGACTGGGAGGGTTTTAGTTTAAATGGAGTGGTCAAGGGAAGAAAGCCTTGCCGGAAGCAAAGATCTGAAGGAGGTGAAGGAGTGAGCTATCAGGGTATTTGGAGGGAGAAACTCTATGCAGAGGTAACGGCATCGGCAAGAGTCTTAAAGTTAGAACATGCCTGTCAGGTTTGAGAAATTGTGTGGTTGGTGTAAAGTAAGTAAGGGGACAAATTGCATAGCCTTGTAAGCCATTTTAAAGACTCTGGTTTTGGGTACCTGGGTGGCTCAGTTGGTGGGGCATCTGCCTTTGGCCCAGGTCTGATCCTGGAATCCTGGGAGACTGCTTTTCCCTCTTTCTCTCTCTCTCTCTGCTGCCCGATCCCCCCCCCCCCCCCTGCTCTCTCTCTCATGCGTGTGCTCTCTGTCTCTCAAATAAATAAAGAAATAAAATCTTAAAAAAAAAATAAATAAAGATGTGGCTTTAATTCCCAGTGAGATGAGGAACTGCCAAAGGGTTTTGAGCAGAAAGAGTGTCGTGATGTCAGTTACAATTTTACAGAATCACTGTGGCTCCTGTGTTGAGATTAAAAAGGGCAGAGGCTGAATCAGAAGCCCAGTTAGTGGATGATTACAGTAATCCAGGGCACAGATGAGGGCAGTGAGAAGTAGTCTGATTGTGTATGTAGAAGATATTAATGAGAGGCTATCTTGATGTTGATGGATACATTATGTGAGAGAAATAGTACTCATGGATGACTGTAAGGTGTTTGAGTTAAGTGATGGGGAAGATGGGAAGGGGGAAAACTGAAAAGGAGCAGATTTAGAAGCAGGGAGAGCAGGGATCAGGGTAAGATAGGGAGGTCAGTTTTGGGCACATCAGTCTGAGATGCTGTTAGACCTCTAAGTGGCAGTAATTAGTATATAATTAGGTCTGGACTTTAGGTAAGAAGTATGGGTTGAGATTTTGAAACTAGGAGTTTTCAGTGTATAGATATACCAGCAAAATGGGTTATCATGAAGTTCATAAACTAACTGGGCAAGCCTGCATGGTTAGCCTAACCTGGAATTCCCATGTCCTGCCCGCCCTGGTCCAAATTTGTTGGTCGCGGCTGTGATTTGGCACCACCTAGTGGCAGATGTTCATTCTGGCTTAATTATCAGTTGGGGTGCATTAAGTTCTCTAGCTGGTTTGGATTTACAGGATAGCGACCTCTAGTTGGTTGGCAGTTAGTGATTAGTTGGCACTCGTTTTATCAACACAATTCAGTGCGATTGAGTGTGACCTGAGGATGTAGGGATGTGGGTTCTGCTTTTTTCACTGTGAAGAAGGACTTACGTACAGTTTCCCTCTCTGGCCACGCTCATGTTTTCCTTACCTAAGATCAGTATGTTAGCCTATTCCCATATGAGTGTGGGGGCTGGCTAGAAGATGGAGGAAACTAGTTACGAGGATTCCTGAATTTTAGTTACCATGGGACCAGAATACTGGACGAGAGATAGAAAAGAGGATGTATAGATGGAATGAAAAGTTCCCAGGATTGAACTTTGAGCCGCTCCAGTTAGGTGCAGGAGAACTAGAGGGTATTATGCTTAGCGAAATAAGTCAATCAGAGAAAGACAATTATCATATGATCTCCCTGATATGAGGAAGTTGAGAGGCGATGTGGGGGGTTTGGGGGTAGGAAAAGAATAAATGAAACAATGGGATTGGGAGGGAGACAAGCCATAAGAGACTCTTAATCTCACAAAACAAACTGAGGGTTGCCAGGGGGAGGGGGTTAGGGAGAGGGTGGTGGGGTTATGGACATTGGGGAAGGTATGTGCTATGAAGTGTGTAAACCTGGAGATTTACAGACCTGTACCCCTGGGGCTAATAATACATTACATGATAATAAAAAATTTAAAAAAATTAAAAAATAGGTGCAGGAGACTGAGTAGGAGCAACTGGTGGGGTGCAGGAAGACCTAGAGTGTTGTATCCCAGTTTTTCAAGGAGAGTGCTGTGGTCAGCTTTGTCAGACATTACTCATAAGTCAGGTGATATGAGACTGAGACTTGACATTGAGATTAGCAGTGCAGAGGTTGTTGGTGACCTTGATAAGCATATTCATGAGAGGGGTCAGAATACAAGTAGGAGAGAATTAGAGGAGAACTGAAAAGAGGCAATACAGACTATTTTTGGTGAATTTGTGTAAGAGGGTCAGAGATGGAAGGTGAAAGCCAGAAGGGGAAGGGAGGATAAAGGAGAGATTTGGATTTTGTAAGAATGCGTAAGAGAACAGCTTGTTTTTATAATTGATGGAGATGATCCAGAAGAGAGGAGGAAATGTGTTTTTTGTTTAGGAAAGTAACATATGTTAATTTTAGAAAAAAATAGTTAATAAGAAGAAAATAATTCACACTTCTGACACCAAAATAACAATGTTTTTTGGTGCATCACTTTTAAAAATTATTTTTGTATTGTGATATAATTCATATACTATGAATTCACTTTTTTTTTTTTTAAGATTTTATTTATTTGACACATAGAGGTAGAGGGATAGTGAGAGAGAGCACAAGCAGGGGGAGCTGCAGGCAGAGAGAGAGGAAGGAACAGGCAAGGCTCGATCCCAGGCCCTGGGATCATGACCTGAGCTGAAGATAGACGCTTAACTGACTAAGCCACCCAGGTGTCCCAGAGTTCAGTCTTCTAAAGTATACAATTCAGGGGTGCCTGGGTGGCTCAGTGGGTTAAAGCTTCTGCCTTCAGCTCAGGTCATGATCCCAGGGTCCTGGGATTGAGCCCTGCCTGTTCCCACGTCAGGATCTCTGCTCAGCAGGGAGCCTGCTTCCCCCTCTGTCTCTCTGCCTGCCTCTCTGCCTACTTGTGATCTCTGTCTGTCAAATAAATAAATAAAATCTTAAAAAAAAAGTATACAATTCAGTGATTTTTAGTAATTTCACATGGTTGTATGCTCATCACCACTATCCAATTCCAGAACATTTTTGTCACCCCAACAAGAAACCCATATCCATTACACTCCCCATTTCCTCTGACCCCCAGCCCCTGGCAACCACTGATCTATTTTCTGTCTCTATGCATTTGCCTATTCTGTATATTTCATATAAATGGGATTATAGGATATGAGGTTTTTTGTGTCTGGCTTCCTTGACTTAGCATGTTACATAGCATGTCAGGACTTCATGCCGTAGGTATCTTACCTTTAATATTCCTATACACATATGCAAATATACTCAGTATTTTTAACTCTTATAGATTGGAACCATACTTTTTATATAGTATCATTTTCACTAAACTACTTTTTCTCATATGAGTATGTAATCTTCGAAAACATTTTTAGTGCCTGTGTGATGTTTTAATAGACAGTCTAGTTTATTCAACCTTTTTTTATTGGACATTTTAATACTTGAAGGTTTTAAGTTTTATAATAATCTGAAAAGAACAATTTGTGGCCAAAACTTTATGTACATACCTGATTTTATCCTTTAGTAGCAATTTCTAGAAAAAGATGAGTGATAATGGGTGAGTATATCTTTGGAAGACTTTTGGCCATATTGCTAGATTGCTTTATAGAAGGTTACACCAGTTTGCACCAGGACAAGCAGCATGTGCGCATGCCTTTCTTATCCTAAATGCCAGGAAGTAGCAGTCATTGAAAAAAAAGTTTGCTTATGAAAAATAGTATCTCTTTTTGTTGATTTGAGCCTGTCTTTGACTATATTGCTACCAGTAAGAAAAACGTCCAAGCAAGCATATTTACTTGAAAATTTCCTAAAACCACCTAAAGTTCTTCCTGATAAGATTAAATTTTTTTATGGTATATTTAGCCACATTGAAAAGAGTACATGTATTACAATAAGTTTGGCTGTGTCTTTTTAAATGAAAACTTATATTTCTGGTTTATTAATGTCTTAGAAGGGAATTGGTTTTGGTTATTAGCATTTTTTTAAAAAGCTTTTTCTTGTATATTAGAATTAATGATTTTCAGTTACTTGTTCAGTTAAGTTTTTGTTCTATAAAATCCATAACTTTGAAATATGAATCCACTATTTCTAATTGCTTAGTAGAGCTATAGAGAGAGTTTTTAGAAATAACTTTATAATTTAATATTACAAAAGATTAAATATGATGCTAACTTTTAAATTTTGATATTTATTTATTTATTTTTAAAGATTTTATTTATTTATTTGACAGACAGAGATCACAAGTAGGCAGAGAGGCAGGCAGAGAGAGAGGGGGAAGCAGGCTCCCTGCTGAGCAGAGAGCCCGATGCGGGGCTCGATCCCAGGACTCTGGGATCATGACCTGAGCCGAAGGCAGAGGCTTTAACCCACTGAGCCACCCAGGCGCCCCTAAATTTTGATATTTAGAACCCAAGTACAGTGGCAGCTGTTCTGGATAAAGAACATGAATTTTACTTAAAGCTGAAGACATTAAAACCTAAGATAGAGCCTGATAGATCATTTATAAATCAATTTATGTGGTATATTCTAGAGGCTGTTTCTAAGTTTTTAATTATTTAAATCTAGTCTAGGTTTAGGTTTTTTAAAAGTACCCACACATTTCTAGTAATTCATTTTTATTTTATATCAATCTTGGGAAGGGTATGCTTTTATTATTGAGATTCTCCTGAGAGGGGTCTGACTTAACTGTAGAATCTATCATTGTGTTTTTACTATGCACTTTTAACAAATAAGATAGTCATTTTTCTTTTTATTGAACTAACAGCAGATTCAGCTATACTTGTCTGTCAAAAGTGTATAAAAAGTCAGCTGTCGTACAGATCAGTTGCCAGGCTGTGTTTCAAGAGAAATTACAATGTAGGTAGGTAGGCGAATTTATTTATATCTGTGTACATAGCGAGTATGGAAATTCAAGTCACTAATCACTGCCCTAAGTGGAGGGTTATAGGAATAGTCTGACAAGGATAATGTAGTTTTTTGTGAGGTATTTTGTAATTGTTGCATGAATGATGAAAGAGAAAGTGTATTTTGCTCCACAACTATTTTAATCTTTTTGGTCATTGTGAACAGCAAAATCTTACATCATTGTATCATGTCTTCCTTGGGGATTGTTCAGCCTTTCATTTTTTTTTTCCTCTTTCTAGGGTTTTTTTTTTTAATAAGGTAATCACATTAGTTTTTCAAAAAAGATTTTGTATTGTGTTAGTGAACTAAAACAGTGTAGCTACTGTTAATCGTGTCAGGCATTGTGCCAAGTCGTGTATATGCTAAAGCACGTTAACTCAGTTATTTCATGGTGCTACTTAATGATTCTGAGGTCCTGTTTTATAGATGAGGAAACCAACACTTGGAAAGGTAACCCAGGGCTATGCAGTTAGTAAGCTAGAGACACACTTTACATAAAAATCCAGGGCCGCTTTTTGGGGCACCGGGCTGGCTCATTCGGTGGAGTGTGTGATTCTTGATCTGGGGAGAGTAAGTTCAAGCCCCGCAGTGGGTGTAGAAATTACTTCAGATAAAATCTTTATGAAAAAAAAAATCCAGGGCTGTTTTAAATATAATGCTGTGTTGCCTCTTACTGTTGATAGTCTATGAAACCTTTTCTCCGGCCATTCGAGGATTTAGAGATTTAGTTCATTCTGTCAGTAGAATGCTCTCTTTGTGCAGCTGTGAGATAGAAACCAGCTCTTTGGAATGACTGGCCAACTTGAATTCAGTGAACTACTTGGGAACTTGTTTTTCCTCGTTTTTCGGTGTGGTGTGAGTTCTTTCCGTTGTTAAGCAGAAGAAAAGCAGGTGATAGATTTGTGTTAACATTTCCAAATATGTGTTTGCGACAGATCTGGCAACTGATCGGAAGCTCTTCCGGCTGGTCTCCAATGATTCCTTCATCTCCATTCAGCCTTCCTTATCCTCCTGTGGGCAGGACTTACCAAGGGACTTCAGTGACAAAGTGAGCTTGCCGAGTCACAGCCACCACCACCACATCGATCAGTCTCTGTCCAATGCCTGTGATACGGAAGTAGCTTCTCTCGTCCCTTTACATTCACACTCTTACAGGAAAGATCACCGGCCACGAGGGGTACCACGGACTTCTAGCTCTGCGGTGGCTTTCCCAGACACTTCCCTGAATGACTTCCCCCTCTATCAGCAAAGACGGGGCTTGGATCCAGTTAGTGAGTTAGAATCTTCCAAGCCTCATTCTGGATCCAAAGAATCCTTGGTGGAAAATTCTTGTTTGTCCGGGGAATTTCAGCTTGTTGGTGAGCTGAAAAACAGTAATTCTCAGCCACCTCCAAGAAGTGGGAAGAGCAAACCCTTGAAAGCAGACAAAAGCATGGACAGCCTGAGGAGCCTGAGCACGCGGAGTAGCGGGTCAACAGAGAGCTACTGCAGTGGGACGGACCGTGACACCAACAGTACGGTCAGCAGCTACAAAAGTGAGCAGACCAGCTCAACTCACATAGAGAGCATCCTGTCGGAGCATGAGGAGTCTCCTAGAGGAGGAAAGAAAGGTGGCAGGAAGAAAGAGGGCTGTGCTGACCCAGAGGACAAGAGTAGCTGTACCAGTGACAAAAGGACTAGCAGCGAGAGGACCGCCGTGGAAGTGAGTACCAACAGTGGGGTTCAAGAGCCCAAGGAGTCCAGTAGCTCCAATGACGTGCACAATCAGAGAGGCCTCAGCACCTCCGCGTCGGAGGAAGCCAATAAAAATCCCCACGCGAACGAGTTTATGTCACAGGAGGACAAACCACTCGAGAAAACTGCCGAAGACAAAGAGGAGCAGAGTGAGAAGTCCGCTGTTCCAGGGGACACCAGAGTTGCTAAAGACAGTAGCGGAAAGCAAAAGGAAGGGGACGTACGGCCTAAATCGTCAAGCTTGATCCACCGGACAGCCTCTGCCCATAAATCAGGCCGGAGACGGACAGGGAAAAAACGGGCCAGCAGTTTCGATTCAAGTCGGCACAGGGACTATGTTTCCTTTCGAGGTGTTGCTGGCACAAAGCCACACAGTGCTATATTCTGTCACGACGAGGACTCGAGTGACCAAAGTGACTTGAGCAGAGCATCGAGCGTGCAGTCTGCCCACCAGTTCAGCAGCGATAGCTCTTCTAGCACCACTTCTCATTCGTGTCAGTCTCCTGAGGGCAGGTACAGTGCCCTAAAGACCAAACACGTCCCTAAAGAAAGGGGTGCTGACTCCGAGCACGCACACAAAGCCCACCTGGGTCCTGACGGAGCTGGCAAAAAGCGGACAGCACGTCGGACTTCCAGCACAAACAGTGCCAAGACTCGGGCCCGGGTGTTGAGCCTGGACAGTGGCACGGTGGCCTGTTTGAATGACTCCAACAGGCTGATGGCACCCGAAAGTATAAAACCCTTAACCACTTCAAAATCAGATCTCGAGGCCAAAGAGGGAGAGGTGCTAGATGAGCTATCTTTATTGGGCCGGGCTTCCCAGTTAGAGACGGTCACTCGGTCGAGGAATAGCCTGCCAAGCCCGGTTGCGTTTCCTGAAGGCGAGGAGCAAGACGCAGGCGGTGGAGGTAAGTAAATCACGGGAGGGGATTTCCCACGCGTCACCGCAGTTGTTCGCGCTGTGGGTGAGAGTGGTACTTACTGAGATAGGCTTGGTGTTACTCTCCCTCCTTCCGCGGTGCCGTTAAAATAAACTTTCTTCCCTGTGGGAGGAGATGGTTGTCTCAGAAGAGGCTTTGGTATGAACACCGAGAAATATATTTTCAGTTGTGTTATTTGAATATATCCGTTCTTTCTGGGCCTTGGGTTTTTCTGAAAAAGTCCATTGCCACCTCCTGATGTTTTGCCGGGAATAACAGAAATCGGTTCTCTTCTTTCTTTGTACGAGAGTAGCAACAGGAAAATGTCGAAATTTATTAGGTCACAGACCATTTTTAGTCATTTCGCATACAGTATGTGCCACGGAGCCTTCAGAATTAGATCACTCGATCGGTTATGTAAGATTTTTCCAAATATTACTTTATCTCTGACTGTGTATTTTGAAAACTTGTGCCTCTTTTTCGGTCTTTTGCCTTGGTCTTATTTTTTGCTTATTCAAGTATCAGGCATTAACATACTTTTTCTTTTAGCTTCTCACTTACAGTTTATTAAATTTGTAGTTTATATCGGCATTTAGTATCCCTCCGTGGATACATAATGCTCCCTATGATAACAGTGATGGTGTTTTGGTTAAAAGCTTATTTATTTGAGGTTTATGGGAAATTGTGCAAAATTCAGTGGGTGGTTTTATATTGTCAGTGTTTTGGCCATTTTATTTATTTCAGCGTTGTTTCTTGCTATTTCCTCCTACCCAGAATAGTTAGTTTCTTCTGTTGTGGTTATTATGGAATCTGGTTCTTGAGTAGGATCACAAGAATTTGGACGTCTTCTATTGCTGGCATCATAGTTTTTTTTATACTTCACTTTATTCCCTGTATTCAAGCTTATCCCTTGTAAAAATTCTCTTGTTTCCGTTGGTGTCGTTTCTAACACAGATTAATTTCTAATGGGAACTTAAAAAATGATCTTTAAAGAAGAGACATTCTATCATACTTGAATATTGAGAACTAATTATATTGCAAATGATTATAACCATTTGGTGACCATATAGTAATTAAATTCCCTTGAATCTTTGATGTGGCTATCATTCTGCTTTTTATAAAAGGTCTTGAAATGCTTTAGTGATTTCTCACACAAGTCATACCAGAAATGTTCACGACTATGCAAGAAACTATTGGGTTTTAAAGTATAGTTTAATTTTTCAAGGTGTCATTAAAGTAAATTTTAAAAGAATGAACATGCTATGGTAGAAAAATACTACTATTCTAAATCTAAATACTGTGGAAATTTAAATACTAAAAAAAATATGGACAAGAGCTATAGTAAATCCTTATGTCTTTGTATTTAAAATGTCATTTCCTTTCCACAGGGAATATGAGGTGTTCTGATTTTTAGGAAAAGTTACATGGAAGGTTTTATTTGCTTCTTGGTGCAGATCTTTGGCTAATACAAGCTTTTACTTTTCCCGACTCCAGGTTTTGTCTTCTTTTGTTTGTGTTCTTATTTTTTAAAAACAAACAACTCATTGAATGTTAATAAGAAACAGATGATGAACTGAAAATTTCCATATACTTCGATGGAATAAATGTGATAGTCTGTGGGCTGTTAAAAAAATTTTATTTATTTTTTTTCCAAAGGAAGAACATCGTGGGGGCTGTTTTTATTTGAGTTTCATTGTTTTTAGAATGAAATGAGAGTAAAACTAGACTGCTTAAATATGTGGAGGGTTTATATTTAGTTGGTTTTTTAATTACATTTTATTAGAGTTTTGTTTGGGCTCTTTGGAAGATTGAAGGTAGTGAGGGGCCAATTAAAAATTACCTAAATGTCAAGTAATTGGTAAAGATTTGTTTATATTAGCTTTAATTGCTACAGTCCTTTCTGGAACTTTAGGAGATATTTTTCTGGGCTATCTGTTCTTACGTACCATACTCCTAAAACATGTCAACAAAACAGGATGCTGTTTGACCATTCATATGGTCATGTATAAACCATAAATAGATTTTATTCTAAGGAACTTGAAAGTGTTGATGAGTTCTCCAATGATTTTTTTTTTTAATTTTTAAGCTGAATGATGTTGGCAGTGTGGAAGGATGAAATCTAGAAAATGTACTCTAAAGTTCTGGAATCCAGTACTCTAAAACAGGAGGTGATCTAGCATGATAATATGAACTCAGACACCCTTGCCCGTGTATGTGCACTCTGTTGTAGGAAAGCTTCTTATCTTCTTGAAGCCTCAGCCTTCTCGTCTCACAGCGTTGCTGTGAGGATGGAAGGAATTCCCAGATGGAAAATGCTTAGAGTGTTGCCCAGCACATAGGAAATGCTTAATAGTGGTACTATTTTTATTGTACAGACTCAAATGTATCCTGTCTTTAAAGTAGAAGAAAATGATTCAATTTAGACATTGATCAGAGATTTCTAATCAGGCCATTGTGAAACTCGATAGTTGTAAAAATAAGAATATTGGTATTCCTAATTTCTTACGTAATACCAACAGAAAAATATTAACATTTAATCAAGTAATAGGATTTTAATCTTATTTTGGCAATAGGTATGTCCTATAATTTACCTTTGATATTCAGTCACAAGTGATTGTTTTCATAGGACTTCTCACCAGTAATCAAGTACTTCTATTAAAATTGAATTTCAGGGGCGCCCGGGTGGATCAGTGGATTAAGCCTCTGCCTTCCTCTCAGGTTATGATCCCAGGGTCCTGGGATCGAGCCCCGCATCGTGCTCTCTGCTCAGCGGGGAGCCTGCTTCCTCCTCTCTCTCTGCCTGCCTCTCTGCCTACTTGTGATCTCTCTCTGTCAAATAAATAAATAAAATCTTTAAAAAAATATTAAAATTGGATTTTATCAGATTTTCTGTTTAGGCAGGAAAAAAGTTTTAGGTGCAAACTAAAGCATTTTTCTGTTGTTGATGTCTTTTGTATTTAAATTTTCTTTTATAATTATAAAGTGTGTCTTTAATAATTTATGGCTAATATTTAAAGGAAAATTTTCAGATAAGTTATATATGGTAGAAAAGTGTCATGCTGTGTAGCCTACACTGCTTTTAAAAAACCATTTTCTTTTCCATCCCTTAATTTACTGCATGATTCAACAGATTATGAAGAACAACCAGAATGGAAAGATTTATATTTGCTCTATTCTTTGTAATTTTTTTTTAATTTCTTAACCTCTGTTTTTCTGTTTGAGAAAATTATTTTAAATGTAATGTGTGGGTCCCTATTCTACAAGCTAGTAATAGGATCCTATTATTATTTTTGTGTTGGGAACCAAAGATAATCTTTTGTTAAGTGAATATTACCTTATTCAAAGAAAACCCAAAACTCAATAAATAATTTGAGGGTTTTTGCCACCTGTGTAATTTGAAGGTCAGTTACTTGAACCCAGATAGCATTGAACCTTAGGAAGACCACTGAACAGACAAGAACATGAGAATTAAAGCTTTTGTACTTTACTAAATAGAGGGACTCTAAATTCTAATACATTAATTTTCTGATCCGTCGGTCCATGTGGAAGTTAGAAGCAGCACAGTTAGTAGAAGGGATTGGTGCTTGGAAAGGTTAAAGTAATGAAACCAGCAGAAAGTGCTACTAATATGAAAGGAGAAGCTGCAGTGACCATGCATACAGGGTACGCCATTAAATGAAGGGGCAGATTGTCTTTTTAATTTGATAGTTTTCAAAGGACACGGTGGGATCATAGTTGAATGCTGTAGTGTAGTACAGTTCAGTAATAAATGTGAATGCAACTGACCCTGATTCAGGGAAAGGGTTATATTAATCTATATGGAGAAGAAAGTTTAGGCATATAAAACAGAGAAGGATGTTCCTTCAGTGTAGTAAACAGATTTGGATGCTTCATTCACTTGGGAAAATTATCTTAAAGCAGTATGAAGAAAAGATACTGATGAGGCAAGTAAGGATTAGGTGTATAGAATTCCCCAAACCAGCTCTTGCCTGGTTTTGTATGGTAGAGGCAGGCATTACAGTATTTTTCTTTCTAGCAGCAGAAAAGTTCTGGATAAGGAATTGAACAGTTACATTTTAATACCACGTCTAATTACCAGCTGGATATACTAGGCAAGTCATTAAATCGATGCCTCAGTTTCCTCAATTATAAAACAAGTAATAGCTGGCTACGTCTGAGTCACCGTTAACTCTTAGACTCCAGTGAGCTTAGATTTGTAAAAGTGCTCTGTAAATTGTAGGTTTATTATGAAAACTATAATATATAAGTATATATATTTACTATAAAAACTGCCTTTTAACTATTTGTTAAGGGAAGTTCCCTCTTCAAATAGATGTCACTTTGAATATATATTCTCCACTAGTGATCCCTTCTTAGGTGCATCTCTGAGGATATATGCAAAATAGTTTCTGGGTGCAGTTTTCTGGGAGAGGGTCTATATCTTTTCATCCCATTTACAAAGGATTCAAAAACACTGGAAGCCACTGTTGAAAGTAAGTGATCCTGAAACTGTGGCTTTTAGGAACTGTTGTGTGTGTATCATGACTCCAGAGTGTGGTTTGATTTCTTGAAAGCATTTTGTCTACCCACCTGGATTGTTTGGCTGCCTGGCATTGTGGAAGCTATCAGTAGGAATGCAGACTCCCTCACTCAAGACGCAGAGCTAATCCTTTCTTGTTGGTTGCTGTTTGCTGGCTTACTTGTCGAAAAGTAAAGTAGTCCTTTAAAATGTTCACAGTTTGAAATTGTTTTAATTCAGAATGAATGTTTCAAGGCTGTGCAGTAGACTGTCAGTGTTCTTTAGCCTCCCAGAAAATGACACTGATGAGTATTTGTTTTTATTTTAGAACAAAATCTTGGCATGCTGGTGTTAGCATCATCCTTGGCTGACATGGAAAGTAAGAAGGGGAGAAGATGTTTAAATCAGATGGGTTTCCTGCCTAGACTTAAACTATTTCTTTGAAATGTCTTTTGTATAATCATTTGGATGTGTATTTCTTTATGTAGTAACTTTATATTCTTAAGTAAAATAGTTTTATCTTGAAGAATATTCAGTGTATTTCAGGATGTCTGTGTATATATTTTATTTTTCTGAGATTTATATATACTTGTCTGTATTTTTGTCTCTCTTTAAAGTCTCATTTCCTAATATCATTTGCTTCTAGTCTCTTTGAGGTACCAAAACCCAACTTTTTATTTTCACAATTGCCCCAAATTTACTTTTTCCTATAATGAACATTCCCTACTGAAAATAACACCTTTGAGTAGGTTTGTCTAAATTTTTATTCATTTTAATAGCAACTGAGCTATCAAAGAGGCCATTCATGACTATGTATAGCGACTAGATGATAACTTACTACATTTGAAATCTTACGTTAAGCAATCAGCTGTATGATTGATGTGTTTTCAGGTGGTGTCTTTTTCTGTACGTTCTTACAGTTATAGCTTTCCAGTGTTTGAGATAGAATATGGATAACCCTCCCTTCCTACCTACCTCTTTTGTATCTCCAGGCCATCCCAAAAGTAATTATTGCCTTTGATGTTTTTCCTGTTTCCATTCACAGAGTAAAACAAACTGATAGTCTGTTGTTTCACTATCCCCAATATAAGAATAAATCATGCACTAAAACAATTCAGTACATAATTTAGAGAATTTTCCTTAACTCATTTAGGTAAATGGGAAGTCACTTCTGAAGTGGGAGGTATGTATTGTGGTTTGGGTTTTTTATTTGATCTTTAGGATCAAAGATCTTTAGGATCCTTAGGATGGATCAGCTCACACACCTATCTAAAATATCTTAGGATCTCTGTGCCTTGTGCATGAATTGCCCTTAGTCCACCAGTAAATGTTTAATCTTAATTGAATGATTGTTTTACTTTCTCAAAAATGAAGAGCTACATGATCCAAGGTTCTCTCTTAAACTTGTGCTTATAATTCAGTCTCTTGAAGTCCTCTAACACAAAGAAATGATTTGTGATTTTGAAAATATGCATGAAAAGATTCACAGTTGTCTAAGTATATGTCCTTGAAAGTATTTTTAAATCTGTCCTGTTATTTATGGTTTTTCAATCAGTTAGATTAATGGTTGTGTTTTTTTCCTCCTTTACCTACACATCCTTTAACTTTAGTTGTAGCCAGAGTGTTAAATTTTCACTGTTTGCATTTTATGCTGTTATTATTCTAGTTAATCTCATTCTGGGTTTCAAGCAATGTCAAAATGTCAACTTCGAAACAAGGTTTTAGAGTGTTTTGTCCCTCCTGTCTGGTTCCCTAGTTCAAAGATTTTTTTGCATGTGCTGTGTTTTCTTTCTCTTACAAATTTAAAGGATTCAAAAAGAGTTTGTTATAATTGGGTTATAGAAGTGAATTTTCATCAAGTGGCTTTAACTTGTATGATTGTGCTTATAGCAAATTATTTTAAGCTTAAGAAAGACACTTTTCTTTCCTTGTCAGGAGTAGAACTGGATCCCTCTGGCTCCTATTCTGAATAGAGATGATTGGTCTAAGTAGTACATTCCTCAGGGGGTGTGGTTTAGTCTTATTTGTTGTGTCATGAACTATGGCATAGCGTCCTCAGTTGAGTGTGTGACCCTAGCTGCTGTTAAAGTAGTTGCGATAGTAAACATTGAAAATTCTTTTAGCTGTAGATGTTTACACCCTGAATGTTACAAGGACAGCACAGGCAATAATCATAACTTCTTTTTAAAACATTGTTCAGTCGACGTCTAAACTTTCGTCTTGAAGTGTTTCCAAAACTATTTGGTTAGGAGAATGAGTAGTATTATGCAGTTCTTTGGCAAATGACAAAATATAAATGGTGTGATAATAGCAAAAAAAATTGTTTTCTGAAGAAGCCAAAGAACATTTTGACTATAAATGGATACTGTAGTTTGTGTTTTCATTTTAGTATTATGGAGTAACTGGCTTTTACTTAAAATTCACACCATTATGTCCTCAGAAGGAAGAGAGTAAAAAATACCGTTGCCTGTTTCCCTTCTTTTATTCTCAGTATCCAAAGATTATAAATACGAAATCTGTCGGAGTAATTTTAATACATTTTATGGATTATTTTTCATAAATTATATCTTAGATAAAGAATGAAATTATCTAAACTAGATATCTAAAACTAGAGAGAATGTGTATAATTTCCTTAATGAAGTTAAGACTGTAAATTGAGTAGTCGTTTGTTACACTGTAATAGAAATCTTTAGTATAAGGTCACAAATGTCTTGAGTTTCGAAAGAGTAATTTTAAATTCCATAACCTGAGTTAACCTTGCTGATATCTAAGAGCCACCAACAGGAATACCAGTCACTCATGTAAGTTTGCATGTCTTCCTGCAAGTAGCTCGTGTTCTTTGTTTTATCTTTTATCCAATGCCTACCCTGCTGGTATATTTTCTCCTTTGTGACGGTGCTGGTTGCAGTTTCCTTTTATTGAGGTCACAGTTGTCAGGAGTAGGCTAAGCCCACAATATGCTTTGTAGATTGTGGTGACAGGAAGGCGTCCTTGAATTTCTAGATCAGCACTGTCCAATATGACTTTCTGTGATGTTGGAAATATTCTGCATTTGTATTGCCCCAGTAATGGTAGCCACTAGTCATGTACTTATTGAACACTTGCACTGTGGTTCAGGAGTCTGATAAACTGATTTTTAATCCTTCTTAATTTTAATTAATGTAAGTTTAAATAGCCACATATGGCTAGTGGCTACCATGTTGGACAGCACGGTTCTAGATGATCAGGTTTAATGATCATTTGTTCTCACAGGTCATATGTAATTTTTGCATATGTGAACTCTCACAAGTAACCTTTTTCACATTTAAAGGAACTTTTATTATATCTCAGTGAAACTGGGAGAAAAAAAAAGGAAAGAAATATTAGCTCAAGGAGTCAAGTCCGATTTGGAGCCAAAGCACCAAAGCCTCATTCTTACATAGTTGCCTAACTTTAGAATGTCACTGTGGTGTATGAACTGAAAAATAAAATATGTAAGTAAGTGTCCTGTAATTTGTGACTTCTGCTTCTCAATGGCAGAAGCTTGCCAAATGGATGAAATAATTATGTGCTTGTCATTCCTGCAATAAAAGAAAACAGTGCCTACACAGAAACACTATGCCTTCTGGAAGTAGTGTGTACATTCCTTATCATAAGAGAGTCATTACATAAAGAATGTTCACTGGTACAGTCTATGGAAGGGATAAAAAAATGTAAACATTAAAAACATTAAAAATATGGAAATTAAAACATTAAAAAAATCAACATTCACACTGGTGGAAATGTGTATTGCTAAGCAGAATAATTTGAGAATTAGTAATTATGCTTTTAAAATTTTCAAAAAGTTTGCAGCAGAACTGAAATATGAATACAACATTCTTGGATTTGTAATCCTTTTCATACTGAATAGGAAAAAAGTGTTTGGAAAGAATGCTGCTGTACTAAGTTGTTTTGTCTTTATTCATATTTGGTATGAAAATACCCTTTGTCATAGTCAAGATCATCCTTAAAATATTTATATCACAACATTCAGATCACTGGGAAACAGTTGTTTTAAATTCAGATAATAAGCATCATTTTGCATTTTGTTTTAGAAACTGAAATCAGTCAATGAGAATGGTTTTATAAAATTTTACGTAATTCTTTAACGGCATTGTTGTGATTTGGTCATTGTGTATTTGGTTTTAGCTTGTACTGTATTGCTTTTGGATTAAGCTATGAGTTTCTGTACTTGTCATCTAGCTGATACTTGCTTCCTAGTGTTGAGGGGACCTGTGCTGGGGTGCAGCGTTGAATACTGTTTGATGGAAGCAAACTACCTTACTGTTATGATACAACCATGCTATCTTGAATTAAACATTTAAAAAGCTGCCAGAGTAGTGGCCCAGACCGCCATACTCCTCAGCATCAGAAACGATGTTTTACCATTACTTGCTTGAACTGTCCTCTTGAGAGTGAGAAAGTAATGTCCCATTCCTGTTAGCTGGGACTAACAAAGACTGTACTTTTGGGGTTGACTTAATTAAAGGGGGAATAGAGGATCATGGGATTAAATCGAGGCTTTTAGAAAAAGATTTAAAGCAACAGAGATATTAAAATAGGAAATTGAAATTGAAGAGAAGATAGTAAGGCCAGCTACATTAGAAATATTTTTAAAGAAACAATTTAAATAAATGACATGTACGTTTTGTGTATTCCTGACTACGATAGATTAACCGCTTATGTATGAAAACTGTTTGGCTCACCTAGACGAGTTCCCTTTACCTTTGAGGGTGGGAAGTCTGGGGAGAGGCAGGCTCAGCTGCTATGTACATCTGTGACCTAGGCTCCTATTTGACCTAAGTCTATCTTGATGCAGCGGCACAGGCCAGCGAGGAGGCAGTGTCCTTTCGCCGCGAACGCAGCACATTTAGGCGCCAGGCAGTTCGGCGCCGGCACAATGCAGGGAGTAACCCTACCCCTCCTACATTGCTCATCGGATCACCCCTAAGGTATGGTATTTTAAAATTCCACCAAGCTTAGCATGCCTGTAACAGACCTTCTAACCTGTTCTGTCAGTCCCAAGGAAGCATTCAGATGGCCTGTTCTCTTTGCTCCAGTTCCTCTCCTGTAGTTTTCAGTTCTCTGAGCGTTCTCTGCATGTCACCATGAGCCTGTTGCATTATGCATGCCTTACGTTGCACCGTTTCAACAAAATGATCAGATTGGTTTAGTCAATTTTAAATAGCAAAATCACTTTAGTGCAGTTATATAAATGTAAACAGACGCCTTAAGTTAGCTTTTCATTTTTTTTCTACTCCAAATTAATGCTAATGCAGCATCTTTCCTCCAATATCTCGACAATATAATGGGAACAGATATGGACTGAGCAGGGAGCTTGTTGAGGAGTACCGATAATGGCCCTCAGCTTGATAAGCCAGCTTGATTATTTTATTTCACTAGAATATGTATTTTGTATTACTTAAAAATTGGTGTCCTTTATTTCATAATTACTAGGAGCTGGTAAATGACATGGAACTAAAATATTCCATTAATGGTAAAGTATGGTCAATTGGGTATTTATGTATATATTTGCATATATCTGTGTTGAATTTCTCAACCTCTGGATAGTACTGAAGACATTTTTACTTTTCCTAATACTCCTAATTGAGAAAGCACCTATTTATAATATTAGGAATAGTTTTCGATTAAAATTTTAGTGTTTTATTCTCAAGTGTGTCTTATGAGACAAAAGATTTGTCTTTTATTTTACAAATACAAATATGGACAAAAATGCTTTACATGTGCTTGCTTAAGCAGCACATCTATTATACCGTATGCTTTTATTAATGGATGTGTTGAAAAACACCACCACCAAATTGTTTTCCTACATTTTAATTTGAAATTCAAAAGGAAGAGCATTTGTTGACATAACTGCTATTGAACGCACAGTAGATTAGAAGAGCCAGAGCTCTTCTCTTGGTAAAATCTTATTCTTGAGAGTAACAAAATGTTTGCTTTTATAGTTCTCTGGGATTTAAGACTCACTTATTCTTCTGGATTTTACATTACAGTTGGGTACTTCATCTTTAGTAGGTCGTGTTCCAGATTAATCCTGCAGTAATACATAATTCTGTTAAAAGTAGTGTGTATTAGTTAAACCAACATTTAAAATGTAAAAATGGGAAGGCACCAGTTAAAAAAACATTTGGTCTAGAAACTTTTCTGAGCTCTGCTGCTTTTTGTAAACCCTCTCTTCTACATGCCCTTCACTGCTTTTCCTTTGCTCCCTGAAGCAGTTTTTCCTTCTGCTGCTATATTGGGGTGTCTGGTCCCAACCTGCAGAAAGAGCTCAGCATTTCGTTTTACTTTTGGTTTTGTTTTTTTCTAACCACTTCATTTTGCCCCTTGAATAATACTTGCCATAGACATGTTTGCTTCCTTAACTCCATATTGATATTTCTTAATCCTTTTTTTTAACATTTTCTTTTTAGTCTTTACAAATCCTTTCATTCTTTGGCACAAATGAGGCTCCTGGATCCCACTCACCAAACAAATGCAGACAAATTACTTTTTTTCTTTGCCTGGTGGAATATTAAAGAACTATGTTCTGACTCTAGCCAATTATGTAGAATTTTGTAGGGTTTTAAATACATCACCATTCAACTGAGGATATGGTATGAAGGGGCTCATGTTAGAAGTTTTCAAAAGTCATCTAGTAGTCAACATGTAGATTTTGTTAAGGTTCCAGGATAGTTCCAGTATAAAGTTTGCATGTATCTTAAATAGGCTGACTTCATCATGGATGAAATATGATAAAATTTAGCTTAGAGGAATTAGGAGAAACACCAATTTGATAAAATCTTTTTTTAATTGCAAAAAATTCAGGTAGAGTATATTGTTGTTAATTCTCAGTTTGAGTTACATAATAATCTCATCTTTAAGTAAATATGGATGGTATGGTCATGGAAAACTTAAAAAACTTACTTGTCAAAAGAAAATGGAATAGGAGTGATAATAATTTAATTACAATTATGTATTAGTAAAATGTACTAACTTATTTTAAACTTTAATGAATAGTTTAAGTATTTGACAATCAAAAGGAACTTGGTAAAATATAAATCTCCAAGGATTGTGAATGAATCATAAATTTCTTCATGAAGGGAATTTGCAAATTTTTAAAATAATTGTTAGAATGTCCCATTTCAGAATTTTATTTTTAAAAGTGGTTTTTTTTTTTTTTTTTTTATTAAGTTAGCCTTGTACGTAGGTTTTCTAGGCCCTTGCCAGTTCTTCTCGGTTACTAGAGATAAAAGCAAAGATTAATATTTAAAAAATTTTATAAAACTAAGAGTTCCATATTTATCTATTTTTATCAACCCAAATATATCTTTTAGAACTCTAGTTAATGGACTGGAATGAAAAGAAATTAGTACATTTTGGGGAAAGGAAAAAAGTTTATTATATTCTTACGTTTATTTTTTAAAAAAGTATTATAAGATTGAAAGATCTGTAATCAAATAAGTTCATAGTATTAATAACAGTCCATGATTAGAAATTCATAGGGATCCTTTCATGGTGCTCAGGAATAAATCCACCAAGTATTTGTTGTTTGTGTACTGTGTTTAAAACAATCTCTTGAATGTTCTCTGGAATCTGGAGGTTCGTAAGAATAAGGCAGACTCTTAGGGTTTATTTTTTAGTTGTGGAGACACACACAAAACAATAACGTAAGACAGAGTGTGGCAAATACTAAAGTGGTACAGAGGGAGGAAAGACCAAGACGAGGTATTTAAATTGGAAATATTAATTAGTAAGATTGCATGTCAGTGATGCTGTTGATAGCTGATAGTTAGACCTAAATTCCTACCTTTTCCTTTTGCTATGTTTTGATATATAACTGGTACTTTAAAAAATATTAGTTCCTGTCAGTTACTAGTTAGGTGAAGTACAAACTACCAGGAGTAGTTTTCCTGTCAACTTCTGCAAAAATGACAGTCATTTTTGTTGTTGAAGGATTCTGAAAACAGGAATTAAAGGGACGTAGCATTTACGACTAGCTTTTGTTGTTCAAAAACTTGACGGCCACATAGATTTTCAGTTGTTTCCTTGGTTTCTTTATTCTGGAATTGATTCCCATGCATTACCTGATATTTTGAAAACCTTTTTGTATATTTGGATATGTGGAGGATTACTGTATTCTCAGATGTGTTCACATTAAAATACATCTGTCGTATAGCATCTCGTTTTTGACTTTAAGTGAAAACAAAAAAGTAAAGAAAAATTTGTTGAGTACATATTGTATAAAATTCTTAATGTCTTCTGAATCAAAAGGGACCTAGTACTTGAACTACTTAAACATTTTATTCATCAGAATTTTCTCCCTTGTGAAATTTGATCATTTTTATAAGGTTTGTGGATAACTTGAGATAAATTTTGAGGAGGAGTAACAGACTTATTGTATATATATGGAAGATACCGCCATATTTAATTATATCAGTTCCCAAGATCATCTCTTGATTTATGTTGATTGTACAAAGATTTTACTCCAAAGAAGTTATCAAATGAATACTTTCATAGTTATGGCTTAAAGAATGCAAATAAGTTTTGACAAGTCAACATTGGGTAGACTTGGTTTTTTTCATGTGTTCTGTACATTCCTCTGCTCTACTTAGAGTGCATACTTTTCTTTGGCTCTAAAAGAAGCCTGAAATGTTTATGTTCCAGGTAGTGATGGGTAATAGAACTTTATATGGTGGTAGAAATACTGTATAATTTGTACTGTGCAGTGTGGTGGATGCTTGTTACCAGCTTCTGTCCACTCTGCCAGCTTTTAGCTATGGTAGCTGCTAGCTATTTATGTGGCTGTTGAGCACTTACAATGTACTTAGAGGGACTGAGGAACTAAAATTTGAGTTTAGGTGGTCACATGCGGTTACCATATCAAGACAGTGTAATTCCAGAGTGGATTTTGTTGCTATAACCATAGGCTTAAGCAACATAAACAGTATTTTCTAGTTAGTCTTTTATTACGTGGCTACTTCAAATTACAGCTCTTTTCACAGTCTGTACAGATGAGTTTGTTTCATAGGCATTAGAGAAACCATTGTATTGAATTCAAAACATTAAAAAGGAGTTGATACTCAAGAAAACGATAAAGTAATTCAATGAGGTCATCCAAAGCAGCATTTTCTTTTTTTTTTTTTCTAGAAGTTCTAATTTAGTAACAGAATGCAGATTTACTTTGAGTGTCATGTAGAGAATGAAATACAATAATTATACTGAAAATATTTCCATGAGTTTCATCACTTTAAATTTGAGTATTATACTAAGAACGTTAAAATTCATAGTATTTTAAAATAAACGTCTAAAATATGAGTTAAGAATAGTTTCTTAGTTATAGATTTTTAGATATTTAGATGATCTTTATAAATAATTTTAACAAGTGACAAAATTATAATAAAATACTAAGTATTTTAAAAATCTGTAAGATTTTAAAAAGACTGTAATATCCCTTGAGAAATTACTGGTTTCCAAATTACTCTTAAGATTTTCTAAAATAATGGATCCTTGTTAATGAAACAATGAAATGGATTGGAGAAGGTAGTAACATGTAGATAGAGTCTCTGGCCTTTTTTACGAAATATGTAGGCTTTTCATAGAAGAAAATACTTGATAAATTAATCACACTTCCAGCATTCCAGCATCATTCGTATTTCACTTGGTTGAGTTGGTGTTTGTTACTGTTTCTCTTGCACTAGTTTGTGATTCTTTTGATTCAAAATTGTCACCTTGGTTGCATTTGATAAAGATTCTTTGGTTTTCAAGTGCATAAAAACTTTGTTTTATTGTGAATTTGAGATGCCAGAATATTTGAAAGCACAATTCTAGAATTATTATAAAGGTTATAAATAAAAGTTCATATTTAAACTGAAAGAGAGGATTTATCTATTGGGGACCAGCTACAACCCACATATATTTAACGTGCTTGTGTTTCTTTGCTGCTTTCTTTGTCCTTGTACTAAAATTTTGTTGGCTTGTGGTGGGAAAAAGTCACAGGTTGATTAGCTTACATATGCATTAAATGTTTGCTGTGTTCATCACTATGCATCAGATTTCTAAGGACCAGAAGATTTAAGACAACAGGATAATCTGTATATTTTACAAAGTTTGTTAGCTCTTTCTTAGGTTACACTGAAAAAATCAAGTTACATTTCAAAATCAGTTTTCTGTATTGACTTCATTCTAGCTATTGTTTTTTCTTTTCTTCCCTGTAATGTCTCCCCAATCCATGTTTTTTCCTAGCCTTCAAGATGGTCAGCAAGGCCAGCAGTCCACAGCCCAGGTCAAAGTCCAGTCCCGCCCCCCTTCCCAGGCTGCAGTGCTCAGTGCTAGTGCGTCCTTGCTGGTGAGAAATGGGAGTATCCACTTAGAAGCCTCACATGACAATGCATCTGCTGTAGGCGGCAGCAGCTTGCACGATGAACTTGGTATGCAGGCCTTATGTAATCTTGGTGATAACAAAAGTATAATGCAGCAGATAGTGGGTGACAGTGATTGCTCTTCTTTTGTGAGAGAGCTTCATTTGGAACTATGCATAAGAGCCCTTTTTATAGGATATGTCCTATGTGTGAGGAAAATTTGACTTGCTTTCCCACTTTCTGTTTTTCTCTCAGCATTCTGCATTTTTTTTTTTTTTAGCATGTCTATTACTGATAGGTAGCTAAAAGTATTAATAAATGTTCATGCTTTAGTGTTCTCTTACAGTGGTTCGGGTAATTCATCTATTCCTTGGCACTTACACCATGAGGGGAATTGTTGATGTTTTAAAAGTTATTTTGATTAGACCTTAATTTCTTTGAATTCGCTGGCTTCAGGAAAGGCATAAATACTTTCTCATGGCGTATTACTACAGAATCTTTCTTTTGGGTATTCTGTATTTCACTTCAGTGTCTGTCACCTGAAACAGACTTACTATAATCCTAATACAGTACTCTCAGGGGGCCATGGCTCTGTATGAGTATCAATAACGCCATCAGGTTTTTTCTTTTTCCTGTTAATATATGTATAAATATAAGTTATTAATATCCAGTCAGATATACGTTTTGTATCTTAAAGACAGTATTTATTACTGCTTTGGTCTTCTGTTTCTCTGTCTAATCCATTTTTCTTGTGTTCAGAATGCAGATTAATAACAATTTAAGTAAATACAATGAAGAAAATGTTACTAAAAAAAAAACACGGTTGAAAGCATTACATTTGCTCACTGTGGTCTTGTTCATCCCTGTTTATAACTATTTCATTTATAAAGATGATAATGCACGTGACACTTTGGCTAGAAGGCTGTGTGGTATGAGGCGCCCAGCTTTATGGGCTGTTTGTTGACTCATCCCATTTTGTAAAAATCCTTATTGTTTCCAGAGAGTTAACAACTATTAGGTACGTATATTGATGAAAATGATTATCTTTAGCAAATTTCATGGTAACTTGAAAATGGTCACTGAGATATTTATAACATTCGCACATATAGTTATTGCTAAATAAAAGAGAAGGCAATAAAAGATTTAAATTTTAGAGTGCTTTTGCTTTTGCGTTTGTAATTTGAAAAAGCAAGGAAATTTATTAGGAGGGTCCTCAGTTTAGTTACTTGCTTTGAGTTAAAAGAGTGATACTTTTTTTAGTTGCAAATATATGCAACTAATGTCTCTCTATCACTATTTCTCTCAGGTTAATCCCCAAAGTCTTTGGAACAGATGATTTGTCAGTTTGTGCATATAAAATTACAGGGACCATCACCATTGCCCACTGGGTCTGTGGTAGCAGATTTGCTAAAATAAAAGACTTAATTTTGATCTATTTTGGATTTTTGCACCTCTGTCAAATCAAGCATACAATGATGCGTAGACGATTTTCCTCTATAAAAACCCAATTTACTCGAAAAACTTGCTAAGAGAACCTTCATTGTAAAATCCCATCCTTAATCCACTTGCAGAATATTGAAAATATATATGTATGAACTCTCTACACAGCTCTGAGGATGAAGCCTGGAGGTGACTTTAGCATCTGTGGGTAGATATTCAGGATGCTGTTGTCTTGAAATTTGGATTTTTTTCTTACCTGCTTTCTGGTAGCTAGTTACTGACCTGTGGTAGCTGGGTGCTGCCAAACTGAGTGTATTGTGATAAGGAACACAAAACAAGCCACAGTGGTCAGTGTACACATGTTCCATAGCAAATGAAGTTGACCGGAAAAGATCCTGAAGATGGGCTGCAGTTGAACTTAAAGGAATTGGTAGAGACACTGGTTTTTATAACATTCCACTAGAATATTTTTGTTGCATGGTTTGATTTCTACATGATTATAATTAACAGTGGTAAGATGACTTGGGGTAAATGAATTTGGGTACTCAGATGTTAAAGTTAGTCACGATATTGTGGTTCCTGGGTGGCTCAGGCATTAAGTGTCTGCCTTTGGGTCAGGGCATGTTCGCTGAGTCCTGGGATCGAGCCCTACATTGGGCTCCCTGCTCAGTGGGGGAGCCTGCTTCTCCCTCTACCCTTCCCCCCCCCCACTCATGCGTGCTTTCTCTCTCTCTCTCTCTCTATTTTTCTCAAATAAATAAATAAATAAATAAAATCTTAATAAAGTTAGTCATAATATCCCCTGAAAGTGTGGAATATTTAGAAAGGATTTTTTTCCGAATTTAGCTTCTTCAGTTGAAAAATTTTTAAACCTTTATATGTGAAAATGTATATATATACGTAATACATTTATATAAAACACTCATATAAGCATTCATACATGTGTATGTTTGAGTACATATAATTGTTTGCATCTGTATGCATGTATAGATTATAATTGGTTGTTTAAGCAGAGGTATAGCTTTTTTGGATTAAAGAAAACTTGCAGTCAGGCACTGTTTAATTCTAAGCTTAGGTAGTTTTCCTTAACTACTTTCTACATATTTACTTTGTGGTTCATACTAGGTAACCACATTCATTTCCTATATTAAACCCTGAGAATCCTTATATCTCTGTTGAATTTTAACTAGCATTTCACAGTTACCAGATAACATTAGACATGGTGAAAAAATTCACTGAATATGCTATTTTATTAGTAAGTTTTTCAGCAGAAGAAAATATTTTCATTACACATACTCGGGAGGCATAATTGTTAATTTTAAAAGCTGAATTATAAGTATATAACTTAGAATTTGGTTGGAAAAATTTGGGTGATTTTCTTACTTATAGACCTCACTTCCATGAAAAAAAAAAAAAAGGTTCAAATGATGGAAGTGACAGATTACTATCTGATTACTATCTAAGAATTTCTCAAGTCCTTCAGTGTGACCTATTGCTTTTTTTTTTTAACCACATCATAAAGGTTAATTTTCTTTTCAACAGTCCTTTAGTGGACTCATATGTTTTCAGCTGATTTCCTACTATATTCTGAATTAAATTGCAATTACAATTAATAAAACAAGCTGTGCTTAGTGCCCAGATGAGTCACACAGGAGACTGAATCTGGGTAGCCTTAAAGTTGTATCTTATATCTATTAAGCTTTTTCTAGGAAACTTGGCGATCACTTCTCAATTTTTATGTTAATCTCAGCTTCCTCTTATAAATTAAGACTAATAAATTGATGTAATGATGCCTGTATAGTTGATAATTAAACTCTTAATATGTAGCTCATCTCAGAGGAAATATTCTAGATAAGGTCTGATAAAGCAGGAAAATTTATGTGTGTTTTCTGTATATGAAATTAGTGGTGGTCAGTGATGAGGATATGCTTTGAAAAAGTATATATAAAGTTACATAAAATTTTCATGTAAAAAACTGTAACAGACAAGAAATGAGAACAAGTTTATATCTATGGTTAAAAAATAATATATATATACATATAAATTCTCATAGATGGTATTCCTTTGATGAATTTGAGACTTAATTTCATTAATGCATTAGAGGTTTAAAAAGTGATGTGTGAATTGAATTTTTCTAAGGTTATCTTTTGTTTCATTGCTATGTGAGGATTGACAAAGAAGGTATTCTTTGAGATAATCTGCTTTGCTACAGAACTTATTAACTTGAAAATATGGTCAGCTGTAGAAAAAGTCTTAAATCTGGCAGTACCCTATTGCCCTTTTTATTAAGCGGTTTATAACAGCTATGCATTATTAAGCAGAAATATGATTTGGAGGCTTTTAAATTTTTTACTTTAAAGAGCAGGGGCTTATATGATTTATAATACTTTCAGTGATTTTTTTTTAAAGATTTTATTTATTTATTTGACAGAGAAAAAGAGAGATCACAAGTAGGCAGAGAGAAAGAAGGGGAAGCAGGCTCCCTGCCGAGCAGAGAGCTGGATGTGGGGCTCGATCCCAGGACCCTGGGATCATGACCTGAGCTGAACGCAGAGGCTTTAACCCACTGAGCCACCCAGGCGCCCCTACTTTCAGTGATTTTTATTAGAGTTAGACTTGGTGTTTTAAAAGGTTATATATATTATGTACTATTCTTAGCATTTGTAGTACATTATAGGAACTTTTCCTTGTTACTGTAAATATAAAGTTAGGTATAAGGGATCTGAGTCTGTATCTCAGTGCCCCATGTTATGGCAGATCATTTTCAGTCATGTAAACAAAACGTTAGATTCTTTTCGCAGCAGCTTGGATCTTCTCCTTCATTGTTCTTTATTGTTATTTTTAAATATAAAAAATACTGAATTTTATTTTATTTTGGGGTGAAGTGCAACACAAAGGATATACAAATGAAAGTAAATGTTTATTTTTATTGAAGCAGTAAAAATCCTTCATTACAGCTAAAAGGAGGAAATATTAATGGATTTTGGGATATATTCATCCTTTTGATAAAATTAGAAAGTGCTTTTCCCATTCTTATAACACAAATACAAGTTTAGGGCTGTCTGGGTGGCTCAGTCAGTTAAGCATCTGCCTTTGGCTCAGGCCATGAGCCCAGAATCCTGGGATCAAGCTGCACATCAGGCTCTTTGTTCAGGGGACCCTGCTTCTCCCCTGCCTGCTGTTTCCTGGCTTGTGCTTGGGCTCTCCCTCTGTCTCTTTCTCACTTGGTCTGTGCCAATTAAATTTTAAAAAGATACAAGTTTAGAAATGCTAGAAAATACAATGAAAAGTAAGCCATCTGTAATTTTATCACTTAGAAATAGTGACTATTGAAACTTTATGATTTCTTTCCTTCCTGTCTTTTTTAATGCATACATTTATATACTTTTCTGAAATAGAATTGGGATCATGATGTGTGACTTTTGTGCTCCTGTATGAGCTTTGTATCTTGCTTTTTTCACTTAGCACATGTGTTATTTACTCATGTTATGTTTTTTAACTTGTTTAGTCAATGACAAATTATTTTATCTCTTAAATCTCCATGAAAGGCAGTATAGCATAGTAGACTGTAGAGTCAAACTTCCCAGCTTCCAGTCCGTGCTCTACTACTCACTAGCTGTGTGACCTTA